CTCTCTCTCTCTCTCTCTCTCTCTCTCTCTCTCTCTCTCTCTCTCTCTCTCTTTCTGTGTGTGTGTGTGTGTATGTGTGTATGTGTGGGTGTGTGTTTTCTTTAATTATTATTGTTTATTTTACCTCATATATATATTTTATTGAATTACATTTATTGGGGTGACATTGGTTAATACATTATATAAGTTTCAAGCTCAGTATTATTAATGACCGGAAATCAGTTATAAGGTTCCCAAGTGTGGATTCTTATACCTAGGAGTAGTTTATTGTCAGATAAAGTTGGACTAATTGCCTGACATTTCTGTTACAGATAACCCATAAACTGAGCTAGCTCTGCTTTCTGGTTTTCTCCTTTGCTGGTTTGAGGCCAGTTAGATTTATCATTTATCACACCCATGCTTCATGGCATAGCAGAGATCATTTCCTCGTGGTGCAGGATCACATAGGAAGCGTGTTATGGCCCTCTCCTTCACTTTTCATATCCTTCTGTCTCAAGTATAGAACCTTCCCATAGTTTTGAGCAGATGGCTTCTTGGATGTAAAACAGAATAGAGAATAAATAATAATATTAAGAGAGAACATTTAGTTAATATTTACTTTGTGTGTCAGACACTGTTCTAAGTGTTTTACATATACTGATGCTGATATTTAATCTTCATAACAAACCTATGAGGTAGGGGATATTATCTCTATTTTACACAAAGGGAATCTGAGGCACAGAAAAGTTAAGTAACTTCTGCCGGGTACATATGTAGTACAAGGCAAAGCCAGGATTCACACTTAGTCTGGCCCTGAGGTCCATGGTCTTAGCCACTGTTCTGCATATTGGAAAGGGTTCTTCTTAGCTCCATCATAGCTGCCCTGACATTTCTAGGTCAAGCAGCAACTGGTTTCAGCCTGGTCTCTAAGATGGTCTAGAAAGGCTTTGCCTATCTGTTGCTGCAAAACAAACCATCTCAAATATGTAGTGGTTTAAACAATTATCATTTATTATCTCTTAAGGGTCTGGGTTGATTGAGGTCAACTGGGAGGTTCTTCCCACATGTAGCATCTATCTGAAGCTATAATCATCCAGACGTTTGACTGGATTGAATCATCCAAGATGGCTTACCCATTTGACTTGTCCTTGGTGCTGGCTGTTGGCTGGAAGCTCGTTGGGACTCTCAACTAGTGCCTCAGTTCTCTTTTTAGTGACTTGGACATCTCACAATCTGTTTAAGGCCCAACCTTGGGAGTGACATTTTCATATCTGCTGCATTCGGTTCTCATCAAGTCCAAATTGTTCAGCAGGCATTTACCATAATTTTTCTTCCGGGGCTCAGAAATCAAGAAGGTTAAAGAATGTATGGAAGATTGACTCTGTCAGTGGTGCTTGGTGCATGTCCTCAAGTACTTTTCGAAGTGATTGTCACTGTGATGCGCCTTTTGGTGCTCAGAGGGACATGGGGACAGAGAAGGGGAGGGCCAGCTAGCCAGGAAGCAGGGGTGTGTGTGTGGGGGAGGCGGAGGGAATATGCTGCAATGAGTCTAAAACCTTAGTTTTACTTGTTTTTCTCATTGTGATTAGACATTTTTGAAAGTCTGGGTCTAAACTTCCCCATTTCATTGTGATGCTCAACACCATGACCCAATAGAAAACCAATGTATCCTCTGTAACATAGTTAAACCTTAATTGCTGTATCATTAGCAGTAGGAGTTAATTAAGACATTTGAAGTAATTTACATGCATTTATCCTCCTACCTACTTCTAGAATCTATTTTATTGATTAACATATTCAAGATGATGCATTAATGATATTTTAAGGGTAAAAGCTAATTCTATTTTGAATCTCATAGTATAGTATAAAATTTGTGAAATGTAAGAACATATACAATCAAATTTATTTTGAAATGTTGGTGACATTATAAACTAATTAAGCTATATTCAGGTTTGTGAATGCTTTCAATATTTTGTCAAGAAATATAGATGCTTGAAGAGATAACATTTCCTAGATAAAGGATTGTACTGGAATCTTCAAACTTGCTGTAAGAGATGGACTAACTGCCTAAACATATAGAAAAATATCATGTAAGTGGAAGACAAGAGCTGTATTATAATACCTTGGATAAGTTACTTAACTCTTTGTGCCTCAGGTAACTAATCTTTAAAAGATAATAATGGTGCCTATTTTATACATTGTTTTGAGGATTAAATACGTACATTCATGCAAACTGCTTAGAATAGTGCCTGGCACATAGGTGCCATTTTAACGTTGGCTCTGATTATTATTACATTTTCAAACAGATGGGGACCTTTTGTTGCTCAAGGCAACAGTGCTCACCGGTCCCTGTTTTCTTCTTCAGCCTCTTGTGACCTGAGTGAAGTTAGCGACACCTCTTTTCATTACCACTCTTTATCCCTGGAGTTTTACTCCCTCTTCCTGGGAGATCCCGTCTCAGTTTCTGACCAAATTTGTTACCATAAATAATGAATGAATCAGCATTTTAAAAGCCAGCTGTAAAGACATGTAGTGATCTCAGAACATTACTCTCCAGATGTTCCCCCCCGTGGGTTGGAGACCATAATTGGAGTTCGGAGATGTTTTTGTAGGTGGCCACGCACAGGTCAGTGCTCTTCAGCTTCCTCAAGCCGCCATGGTTTGCTTATCCTTAGTTTGGCAGGAGGTGAGGAAGCCCCGGAGATCCATGGGGGAGCGGTCACAAAGGGGCACAGGCAGGTGGCCAAGCATCACTCAAGAGCAGTGGTGTCCATCACCCTTCTTCCTCCTCCTTCAGTACTCAGAGCATCAGAGGGAAGGACTGGAAAGGGACTTGCCTGGGACGGGATTGAGACTTGCATGTAGGCCACATACACTTGCAGATATTAGGCCCCTGGCCAATTTGACAGCCTGTAACCTTTTTATTAGGCTTCTTACTGCTTTTCCTTTCAGCACTTAGAATGTGCTGTCAGCAGCAGGTCCCCTCATAGCAGAAAGAATGACTGGAGA